CACATATCTTGAAGGGCTTAGGTTACTTGATAATGAAGAGTTGTGTGAGGGTGTTAGGAACATAGTTGATGGGCTACCATGTAGTGGTATAGGTAGAAGTTGCTGTATGTAGTGGACTGATGAGCTTGAGTGGATGAGGAAGGATATTCAATGCTGATAGCGAATACCACGTGGCCATATCAGCTGTGAGGACTGTAAATTGGCCCAGAACATATACAGTTGTATTATCGTGAAAGCTCATTATGCCCACATTAGAGATTGGCTAGCAGACGCCAAGCACCATGCAATATTTCTCCTCCCATGAGCTATTGAAACACGTTGGACAATACCTCTTAAGGTGAACAATGTTAGCATTCGTGTTCATAATCACCAGGCTGTGAGTGATCTCATTGCCGAACAACTTAATCCTATTCCTGTCCCACCATGGAGGGTATCTCTAGTTGTTGAATTAGAATCTGCCGTAGATATCAGAGTGGCAATTCGCTGCAGTCCTGGCAACACCGGACCTGCGATGGACAATACTGGTTATCTGTTTATGCGGCTCTAGCCTAGCCGAGATCCTTTTACTGTCCAACATCTTGTTAATTATCGGTTACGCTAGGACATTGAGGACTAGTACTCGGCAGAGGTAGTCCTGATCTATAAGGCCGACCTGCCTTATTACCACTTCGTCAAGTCATGGAGGATAATCCTCTTATTGCCATCATTAGCCAAGGTTGCAGATCGTGTTATATTTGTGAGAATGACTTAATGCATTGACCTTGGAGATAGACAATTCGGATTCAGACGTAAACGAGGCTGCCGTGATGCTATCTCGGTTGTCTATGAGTTCCTTCGCCATATCAAGTACCTCAAAGCTTCTTTGGTTTCCATTAATGTGGAAGGAGTCTTTTACCATATCGACTTTGATCTGCTGTCGGATTTCCTTGTAGTGCAGGGTTGACCAGTTATACTCTGTGCTTGGGTTAAGAGGTGGGCAGAGAGATGTGGGGTGCAGTTCAGGTTCAATGGACGCATATCCTACTGATATCAGACAACTAAAGTGATACCACTGGGTTTACCGTTATTGCCCGTCTTGTTTAGCGTATATGTCGCCAATATATTTACACCTAGGCTTCGGTACCAACATTCTCTAACGAGTATCGTGATTAGTTACGTTGATAATGTTGTTAATGCAGTAACTGCAGACTCTATCCAATCAACCCTGCAGCACATTGTGGAACCTTTTGAGGACTGCAAGAGAGTGGCACATTCCAGTGGTATGTGGTTCAGCCCTATCCAGACCAAGTGGCTGGGCTTTTGCGATGTCAGCTGGCAGGCATTAAAGTTGAACAGAAACGAAATAGAGTTATCAAAATACTTAAGGATCCTTGGCTATCGGTTCAACCACTTTAGGAACATGTCGGTGCACGTTAGATACTGGTTGGGTAGAGGATTCGGTGTTAGCAGGAGGATTTCACTGTTCGGGAGGAGGTTCAGTAGTGTTAGGGGGTAGGGTGCATGGGAGACATCTCTGCTTCTCCAGTCCTCATATCTACCAACAGTTTATTATAGCGTTGAGTTCCTAGCCAAATTTGAGTCGTATGTAAAGCGAATTCAGGTGCATGTTAATGACTGTTTGAGTAGTCCTTTCCACTGTCCGATCAAGATTGCCAACAATATTTTGATGGCTGAATTTGGTACAGCGCCAGTTGCCTTACAAGGGCAGTATCTGCAGCGTCGATGATATAGCTGCATGATTAATTATGGATACTGTGCTGACCATCCATGGTTTGGCTCGGTCCGTGATCACTGGGCTGACGCAGATATGGTTCCATATCGTATGCTGTCAGACAAGATGTTACTGCGCCCATGTATCACCGTTCCTACTGTGGTTAAGCAGGACCCTGCTGGCCCACACTACCACTTACTTGAGCACTTGTCAACGAATGAAACACTCATCATATATAGCGATGGGTCCAAGACGTTGCTCCGGTGTGGAATGGCTTTAGTGGTCTGTGAGGGTGGCATGTAGGATGAGGCTCGTGGACGTGCTATACCCCTTGGTTAGTCCATCGTTTAGTATGAGCTCCTAGCGGTCGTGTGTGCCCTGCGCGAGGTGTCACTGTATTATAGTGGTACCGTTGACATGTTTACAGAATATGCAAGCACTATATTCCTCGTTCGTGATATGTCACCCGAAGGGGTATCTGCAGGTATATGGGATGTGTTATGCCCACTTATCAACTGCTTTGAGCAAGTCAACATCAGCTGGGTTCCTGAGCATGCTGGCATAGATGGCAATGAGCTGGTAGATAAGATGGCGAAAACGGCTGTATCCTTTAAGCCACAACCTCGACACTGGCAAGGCTTGTGTTTTGGCATAGGATACTCCATGGGGCAAAAGGCAAGGGGAAGCGAGAACGGTTACGTTGGCACAATGATGAAGGATATAGCTATTACAAGCGGAAGCCGCAGCCACCCCAGCACTTGAGTGGGCTGACCCGAATGGACGCGTTTGTATTGCTACGGATTCGAATGGGTACCAGTATGGTTGGTCATGATGACTGTATTGGGAGGGATACGTGTCGACATTGGACCGAGTATTCTCGTTATAACACTCTACGGCCGGTTAGGTTACATGATGATCGACAGATCTCAGCCTGGAAGACTTGGTGAACCTGGCATGATTACCCAGGGCTAGGAAATCCTTCACACCCTTCCGTTATACATGGCGAGAGGATTGTTGCCAGTAATCCCTTCGATCACACCTTGTATGTAAACCGTGGGAGCACCTTGACAGTGGTGACGGATGACTCGTATGACACCCACCCAGTCTGACATACTTCCAATATGACGAAGTAGCTGTTTGCACTATTCGAACAGCCCGGTATGTGTGCATGTTGTGGCCGCGTAGTTGCTTCTGGCAGAATTCTCTGGAGGCACCTTGCGGATCACCCAGAATCTGTTGATGACATGACTGGAATATACTGGGAGCAGATGGTTGGCATGTGGCACGAACTTGATTACGCTACAAGGAACAGCCTGGTTATTTTTTGGGCTATGAGAGTTGCTGTTTTGGGTGTACATTGCCCTGGCTGTGCTGCTGTCTATACGGCAGGGAATGCAATGATAGGTCATGTGAGGAAATGTATTAGATGCTGGGATAAATTGTGTGATTTGTTTTGGGCATGGGCGAGTGATAATTTGGATGTGTTGGAGGGCGATATTGGGAGGAGAGGTACGAGGCATGAAGACGCATTAATCCGGGATCCCGCTAGTCGGGATGAGCGCCCGTGAGCATGTTGGTAGTGATTTTGGATTTATGTTTGGATGGAGGGTTGCGAGATGAATTTGTTCATGGTTGTGTTTTATTTATTTTATAGTTTTGTGTTTTGTGTTTTGCTTGTTGATGCCGGGTCGGCGATACAAGGATAAATAAATTATATTGAACTCAAATCAATCCGGTCACCGCTTCACCTCCATTGAGCTGAGCTTTATCCTTATTTTTCTCTGCCTATATCGGGTACGTTACACCATATCTACCGCTATCCGGAGTCAATTCAACCCTCTCCATCGCCTGTATAACAAGGTCAGTCTGCTTAATGTTTTTACGGGTATTATCTATTGAGTACTGACATACTAAACTTATCAGAAGTGAACAGTAGCAATGTTCAGAATTGTCACCAAGCTGGCATTCAGACCCGCCGGAATCTACCGCTACCCCCCTTACGTCCACTATCCACGCAGGGCGATCACTGGCAGCACTGCTCTGGTAATATTAATTTTTTAATACTGTAGCCCACAAACTGTTCTAACCAGGTGACAATATTCGGCAGAAGAAGCGAGCCAATCCTAAGCGTAAAACTGTTTTTTTGGAGGCGACTACAGAAGAGGACACTACTTCGATAATCTTAAATTTTTAATGGCCCACAAACTACTCCAACATTCAACAGTCTCGGAAGAACCAAGCTACCAATCTCAAGCACCGGACCAACTATTCCAAGGTCACCATGCTCGAAGCCGAGAAGAGATTGGGCTTTAGGTTCGTGGAGTTTGAAATGTCTGTCATACCCGTCGGCCAGATGTTGTTGCAGGCAAAGCCCGAGATCAAAGTTCTCAAAGTCGATCAGGTCCGGAAAATGAAGGAATTGGTTTATGACAATATCCCCCAGTTCATCGAAGGCGAAGGCTTTCCCACAGAATTCGACGAAGACTTTAATGGAGCCAAGGCGCACGACTTGGCTTTACTTATAATTCTTCCTATACTCACGGAGTTGAAACGCGAGACAGGGCGTAACCTTTTGCTTTGGAGGGAAAAAGAGATTACCGCCGTGGACTCGGAGGTTGGTGGTTGTCAGGAGTTTGTTAGGATGGACTATATTGAGGTTGGCGGCAGGAAGTTCGTCTTGATTGTGGAGGCAAAGACGTCCTCTGTTGGACAGGAGAAGAAACAATGTTTGTTGGCCCTCAAAGACACGGGGGATAACAACGGCGGAGGGATTGTATATGGTTTCGTGACTAGTGGGGGACAGTGGCAGATGATCCGGTATGACCGCATGGGCTTTACTCAGACAGACGACTTTCACATATTGTTCTACGGTATAGGACAAGAAAAAGAGAGATGGATGAAGGAGTACTCAGTCATTGTCGACTGTATTCACATGGCGTCGAGAAGCGGGGGGTTTGTGGCCGCGTAGTTCGGGGTGGTGATCTAGTGGAGTTTATCTTCCTAGAATTTGTTTGCGGTACCTAGTTGTTGTTCTGGGAGTGTTAGTATTTGAGCGAAGCCGAGGGATTGTACAGTTGACTGCAAGGTAGTACGTTAGCCGGTGATGTGGTGGGTGATGCGGCAAGTGAGGCCGCGTGAACGTAGGCAATTAGTGGTTTGTTCTTTCCTGTATGATAGTCGGGCATACCCCCTACATCTCTTTCTCAATAAACCTCAGTAGTTTCACCACCTCGTAATACTGGTGGTTTTTCAAAGTCTCCAGCACTTCCAACCTGTGGCGCGACAAGAATTTGATACAACTTTGTCCAAATGATTTAATGAAATAGTTCTATGTTTCAGTAACTTTTGTTTGACCCCCGCCAGCCCTACCACTCTGTTTAGCTCTCTTGGCACTGTAGATTTCATCTACACGAAGAAGAAGGCAAGCAGACTAGAGAAATTATTACTAAAATGCAAATCCAAGATCGTAAGTAAGTTTCATCTCTCACCTCAATAGCTGTCTTGATGCTTTGCCGCTTTATCATACTACTTCACGCCCGCAGACACCATATGCTTTCATGTCAACAATCTTGCCGGTGTCACCGTCAATGCCCCAGGTATTCTCCTTCGCGGCATGCTTTACCTGTAACTGGGTGAGTGCTCTGATTGGGCTGGCACCAGAGCTCCAGACCAGTGTCCTAGGAATGACATCCAGAGCTTCTGAAACTCCACTGTGTGGTCACGGCTGCACACGTTCGATAGACTTTAAGATCACCGCAAGGCGTACAAAGATAGCCATCTCGGCTGCGCCACTTCCAGGAGCTAGCCGGGGGTGAAAAAAAAAAACCAATGCGTGCTAGTACCCTTGCGTCTTGCAGATTGCGTTCGATTTCGTTAAGGATATCCTTAGGGGGGGCACGCGATAGATAGTGGGGGCTTTAGGGTTTTCACACTTTGTCATAAAAAAAAAACATCTAAAAGCGTCAGCTATGTTGCTTCCACAGGGCCCTCAAGTTTCGCAGGGTAGGATAACGTACTCATTTCCGATATTCCCAATCTCAAAGAGACCACATTTGGTACCAGCAGCTGACTCATGAAAACACCGACACGGTGTGCAATTATAGCGCCAAAGGGACGGGTGATAAAGTTGTTATCAGTCTTTCTGGCACAGCACAGGGCTGTCACATTTCCCTGGAGGAAGTAGTTTTGAGCAAGAACTTAAGGCATGGTTTCCGACACTTGAAACGTACAGTCAGGGTAACGACAGAAGAGGAGAGAAAGACTTGAACAGCAACAATGCTAGAATGATGTAAAAAGAAAAATAAGAGCATAGAAGAAAGAGCTTAGGAAAAGAACTATGTGTTGAATTTTGGATCGGGGAGCGAAGCCAATTGCAAGTGGAAGCCAGTACAAGTTATCAAACCTATTGGAAAGTCAAAAAATGAGTGAATGGAAAGAACCTCAATTGTCGCTTGTACGTATCATTCAGACTGCGGAGAAGCTGCCTTCTTATGTCCTCAGATCCAGTGCAGTAACAAGCCATGTATCCAATTCCCAAAATCAACACGCTAGCCTTATTTCCCGTCATGGAACAAACTATCCCAGCTGTCTCTGTTCTGTATCTCCATCACAACAACTCAAACAGGAAGAAAGCAACAACTGTTATGAAATGATGATGGCATGAGTGACTCAGAGTATAGGACAGATAAACGTAAAGCTGGAAAACAGAAAGGAAGATTAATGCAGAAAATCAACACGATGGATTCATGAGTGGTAGCTCTAAAGTAGTAAAGATTTTTGCATGAGGAAAATAAAAGTGAACAGCCACTAATATACCTGGACAAAGCAACTCTTCTAGGTCCTAGAAGGACATGAAATATATGTACTATTATCTGAAAGAGAGAAGGACTCTAGGATGTTTTTAAGGGCTCTAAAGAATTGGGTTAGTTTGATTTGACTCCAAAAAACCATGAAACATTGCCTCCGAATTCCAAGATGGTTCCCTGGTTATTCCAATTTCTTAGGAGTATATTTTCCGGTTGTCATAGGCAAGGAATTCACAGAGAAATTTAGTAAAGGGACTTGTTAGTGATGTATATTTCAGTCACATGTTTCATATTTATGGCCTGCTACTACTTGGGCCATTTGCCTACCTACTAAATCCAGGCACACGTGGACGAGATTGTTTTACAAGTATACGAAACAGAAAATGACCAGTAAGTTGGGTACCAGTTGTTAAAATTCACGAAGCCTTTTCTGGTCTGGGTTACCTGGTCTGTAACGCGGTGTGAAACAGTAATGCATTAGTTTGGTTGGAAAGATGTTTGAATGAACCAGGGTTAGTGTGCTTTGAAGGAACGCTAGATGTTTGGGGCAGGAGTTAGTTGTTGCAGGATTGTCGGAGTGATGCTGGATGAGAAAGGAGCTGGAGAGCACTAGGGCATTAGTGTTCAGTCTACTTGAATGGTGCTACGGTTTGTGTAGCACTAGGTTACTGCAAAACGTTTGGAAGTAACAAGAGTGTTTTGGAATTGTCTGATACTACAAGGAGAAGGTTTCCGAAGTACTTTGAGGTAGTGGTTGGAAACACTGTGGATTCATGACAACAGAGACAGATGGTGTGAGCTTGCAAACACAAGAATGGTTCGCTGTACGAGAAGACATTTGTATATATAGGACACCTCCGACAACATAGAAAAGATAAGGAAAAAACATTGACTCTCCCTCGAACATAGCCTATTTTATTACCAGTGTAGGCTAGTGTGATTTGATAGGGTAGTTTTCCCGGTTGCAGTTAAGTAAAGTAGTATTTAGCTAACTAGCCGATGCCGGACAGCCTTAGCTAGGATAAATATATGGTAATATTCCTTACGCAGTTGCAGGGTATTTTTCGCTGACCGTGAATTTCATACCAGTAGATAGCTTGGCATGGGGAATTTTCTCTACGGTGCTTTCTTGTTTCCTTAGTTAGACCACACCTTCCTCTCAATGAATCGATCCGATCACCGCTTCACCGCTACTTGAGTATCGAGCTTAACTTTATCTTTGTTTCTATCCTCCTATATCAGCTGCGTTACACCTTATCGAGCGGGATCGGGAGCCAATTCTACCCTCTCAATTGCCCGTTATAACAAGCTCAGTCCGTTTAATGTTTTTATATATTGAGGACTAACTTACTAAATTCATGAGAAGTGAGTAGTAGCCATGATTGAATTGCCACCAAGCTGGCATTCAGGCCCACTGGAATTTACAGCTACCCCCTTCGTGTCCACTGTCCATGCATGCATGCATGCATGTAGGGCGAGCTCTACTCGAGCACTGGAGTACTCCGGTAAGCTTAATTTTTTAATACTGTAGCCCGCAAACTGTTCTAACCAGGCGACAACATTCGACAGAAGAAGTGAACCAATCCTAAGCCTAAGACTGCTTCTTCGGAGGCGACCACGGAAGAGGACACTACTTCGGTAAACTTAAAGTTTTAATGGCCCATAAACTCTTCTACCATTCAACAGACTCGGAAGAAACAAACACCAATCTGAAGTGCCAGACCCCATGTTCGAAGGTCGGCATGCAGGACTCCGAGAAGAGATTCGGCTTTGCCTTCAGGGAATTTGAAGCCTCAAAAACCGCTCCCGTGGAACCACCAATGAAGGTGCCCATGAGACCCACCGGAAATGGGCGAATTTGACGATAATTAAGAAGACGAAGAATTACTTGACGCGGGTGATGAAGACGACGGAGAGAGTGGTGCACAAATTGGTGGAAATAGTGGATGAAGGAGGGATAGCACGGAAATAGACCAACAGGTGCACATGCCCTCGCGGAGGGTTCCAGATAATGGTGAAATACACGAGCCGCACCCAACGGCGCATCATATGCCGCATAGTATGAATATCAACTGGCCGTGCCTGAGCTTTGATGTGATCCAGGGTGGGCTGGGTGATGAGTGACGTGGATACCTACAGATGGTGTACTCGGTTACTGGAGCGCAGGCTGCTACAGCAAAGGATAATGAAGTTACAGTAATGAAATTGAGTGGTCTGCAGAGGATGCAGCAGTGTCTGCCCCGCCTCTCTAATCCACCGCTAACCATCAATTAGCGAAAGAAGACGACAATAAAGACGATGACGAAAACGACGTAGAGGAGGACCCGACCCTCCAATCTCGCTTGCTCTAATGCCCGAATACGACAAACTGTATCCGTGCCCCTCCGCATGCCCACAATGCCGTTTCGATGGCAAAAAGCGGCAAAGTGTACAACGGGGATCTATCGCCGCACTATGAATCTTCCGAGAACCCGGATTCTGCCTCTCCGCGGGTGCAAACAAACCTATGGCCATGCTCAGGATGTACGGACAAATAGCAGAGCGCACTATTGATTGGTCTTCCAATCCACGAGATGCCGTGAGGCGGGTAGCTACTGGGGATAACACTGGAAAGATATTTATCTCTACGAGGAAAGCAGGTAGTACTTGGGCTACGGGTGGTAGCACACCGGAGCGGCATACGGGCGGTGCGGGAGAGCTCTAGTAGTCTCCCAATGGGTGCCACGTCTTTGGCTCCGCATCTTAGGACGGGACAGTCAAGATTTACAACACCCGTGCACGGACCAAGAACTGACAATTGTCAGTTGATGTCTCATCTTCAGACGATAAAGCCGTATCCTCGTGTTGGGTAGTATCCCATCTCCTTGCCGCCGGCACGGAAGATGGAGTCTGGGGATTCTGGGTTCCCGCAACTTTCCCTAACGCACTCAAGGGCGAACACGTATACGCTGCGGCTACCGCGAACCCTACCTTCCACCAGCAGCCAATTACTAGTGTTGAGCTTTACCCTATTGAGGATACTATTGTTTCTGTTCAGTCGGCAGACTCAACGATTACGCTTTGGGGCTTAAGTGCCAAGTGAACGACGATGAGAGTAAGGGCACTGGCGGTGCGGAGGATATTCCACCCAAATTGTTGTTTGTCGACTATCGCAAGGGTGTTGCGGGGGTGCATTAGGAGAAGGTGGTTATTGGGACTGGGGGTGAAGAGTTTGGGCACTCTGTCCTTCCGTATATATCCCTGCTTGGCGCGAGTGCGTATTGGCTAACTGTTTTTTCCCTCTCCTCAGCCAGTGTTTTCAAGCCTACCAGCGTCTACACTTGTCGTCAGGGTGGGAGGGGGTTCTTGTGGAGTAGGCATGGCCCACGTCGTATTATTTTTTACAAGTCGTGAAATGGTTTCTGGCTTGTGTATGATATACTTTTGGTCAATCTCCAGCAGAAATGGTTATGGCGGTAATCTTCTTGTTTGTCTTGTGAACTGTGTGCTGCAGTGATGGAACCTTTCGATGTATATAAAGAAAATTAATATCATAGCAGATTTGAGCCAGCCACTCTTGCCACTAGACTTCTAGGGGAGGCGGTACAAACTGACCTCTATTGTACTAATTTCATACTTGTGCCCTCTGGTGGATATGGTAATAGTGGTAGGAATGTAGCTCACGGGAGTGCATCACAATCACGCATTTTGCGTTCCCGTGCAATGCGAAACCTTTTTAATACTATCGTAACCCAAGTTGCTCTATTGGTGATGAAACTGAGGTGGGTAGCAGGAGGAGTCGTACTCTTGACCAACTTAAGCTCTAGAGAAAGGCCATGCTCCGGTGGAGCGGGGTCTTTATCATATGCACTATAAAAAGCATTCGGGGAGTGAGGGAACGGTGGGCAAGCTCAGATCTAAAATAATAAGGCTATGATAGGTAGAGAGTGTCTGCGATTCTTGTTCTTTCTATGCTACCGGAGGTGTCATATATACACACAAGCTGTTCCTTTGCAAACATCTTCCTCGCCCATCAACCTCACAGAATTCCATACCACCTTTTTGTCATGATGCCACACCGTTCTTTTCACTCAACTCCTTGGAACATCCCCCGAAACATTTCCCTTAAGCTATAGCTGTTCTAGACAGTCCTGATACCCCTTTGCTTCTTCTCCAGTTTCCTAACTCTTATAGTGCGACACCTGGTTGTCTTCTAGACCTGCGGAGCATAACCTGTTACTTCCGGTATCCCTAGCGGTAACTCCTAAAACCTTCCAAACACTTCTCCTTGCACTAACCACTAGTTTCTACATACCCTTACTCACATGTTGACTCTCTCTTTTAGCTTGTTCCACCATTGCATTTCCAAACCTTTGCTAAACAACCTTCGTCTCATACTCTAAACAGTGGAAGCTTCGTGATTTTCAACAGTTGATAGCCCCGAATTCTTCGAACATGCCGAACAGGTTTGGAGTATGCTGGATGAGTAGAGGGCATGCCGAGCAGCATTTCCAGCAACATTGTGG